GGCAACTTCTCGTACAGTTGTAGTTTTTCTTCAGTTTATGTTGCTTAACACTTCTACCAGCTGGAGTTATTTTCCATGTCTTTCTGTCAATTCTGTTGTTTTGGATGGTTGGTTCCTTTGCTAAGCTCTCAGTTAGCTTCCAGAGTATTTTCTGTGGCATTTCTGAGTTCATGAATGAGGTAGATTTGGTGCTTTCATTTAAAGGAGCGCTCTTTATAGACAGTCTTGGGCAGTGTCTGAAAAAACATCTTTTGTTTAGGCAATGCAAACATGGTTCAATGCCTTCTCTGTTTTTTTTTCCGTTTTCACTTCAGTGGCAAATTGTTCTTACAATTTTTTTTATTTTTTAATATTTTTTTTCCACTTTCCCCTCAAAGCTGATTACTGCTTTGGAAATACAGCTACCTCTTCCATGTTGTATGTTGCTTCAGAGTGTCCTGACTCTAACCTTTGTCTTTTTAAAAAAGAAAAAAAAAATTTTTGACAAGTTGAATGGATCTGTAATGTGTCTCCAACATGAAAAAATATGTTGTTGTTCAGCAGTAGTACTGACATTCCCATGTAAAAAAACCCAAAAAACCTTCTAGCAATTATATTTATACGAAGATACTTCTATGGAAAAAAGATACCTATACTGTATTTCCAGGGAGTAATACTTAAGATTTTGTATTTACAGTGAGTACAGAAAATAACCAGTTACCAGTGCTGCTTTCAGGACAGAGAAGTATCTTTATTTAGCATGTAGCATATATGACATGTGCTTTTTGAACATTAATTAATATTTCAGTGAGGACCCTATTGGTTTTGTCTAAAGCATTATGCTGACCTGAACTTAATGTAGTCCAAAGCTGAATTCACATTTAGATGAATTGAAGGGTTGGAATATCTTTGTCCCTAGAATGGTATGGTCTTGGTCCCGAGTTACAATCCCTGATTGCTTCTGTCTCGGAAATAATAAGCAGTAATGTGTTTATTTCTGTCAGGTGTTTGATCAGCCGTGTTATTGCTAAGGCATTAATAAGTTTTCTGCCTGTCCCTTGTGGCAAGTACCGTCTGTGTTTTATACTTGATAGATGACAACTTGACAGCATTTTTTTGGAGCAGGTGCATCTTTTTTTTTGATGTATCAGGTTTGATCCATCAGGTTTTGTTGCTAGCTTGCCATTTTTCATAATCATCTCAGATCCTTTAAACACTGAAAACCAAAGAACTTTATGGTAAATAAAACTTACTTTTTGAAGTTTTAATGCAGATAAGTCCAATTTCATTTATATCTTCCTCTGTTCCTATGGGAAGTAACACATCAATGAGGTTTTGTCATACAACAGAAATATATGTTCAGATTTTATTCATAAAGTCTTGTTAAGATGTAGAAAAGAAAAATGCTCATTAAATTTTAGATATGCAAATCACAGTACTGCAGGAGAGCAGTTTCTGCAGTATGTTTTTACTGAGGCCTTGTTTCCATAAAATGTGCTGTTGCAGGAATAACCTAACTGAAAAAGTTGGGTTGAATGTATGAGCACTTAAAAATTAGTTTAAAAATGTCTATATTCATCACAAAATTATCAGGTTGTCTTTAAGCAAAGGTTCTTTGGTGTCCAATAGTTTGCATCCACAGAGGTTCTTTCTACTTCTTTCATATATAAAAAAAAAAAAAATCATTTGGCAGAAACAACAAATGTATATCTTTCCACTTGGTAATGTGTCTTTATCCTAATGCCCTAAATTATATCCCTTACTTAGGAAAGTAAATGTTATAATGTATTTATTCCCTTTCACACATGCAGTTCAACTCTTACTGAAGTGAATGTTAGCTCTTTGGTGTCTAGTGAGCGCAAAGACAGAGCATCAGAAGCTCTTGACTCTCAGTTTCCTCGTGATGAGTGTTTTGCTTATGGCAGCAGCTTTTGTAATTTGGAAATCAGCGAGCTTTTAAGAAACTTTGTCAAATGTGTGATGAAGCAGGAAAGTGTAGTCAAGAAAAGAAGATATGAGTGTGCCATTGATGATTTTAATATGTTTGACTGCTACTGCTCAGTATATTTATGGAAAAAGAGGACATAACATAAAAAGATCTATTTAATTTTTGAGGCTAAAGTACTAGCTTGGAGTTTAGAAGCTGTAATATTAGAGAGAGAGAGAGAGAGAAATTTTGGGGAAAATTCTGTATGGGCCTGTTTGAGTTTACTTTTTGTTGTTCTTCACTGGCTGTAGAAACAAATATTGAGACTCCAGGGTTCTCTGACAGTGAATGGGAAAATGAAGGAATTTTATTGCTATCGGATGACACACCCCATAATACCTTAATTGACATTGAACACTTCTTGGCAACAACTAGTTGCAGCATAGTTTGCTACATATTTAAGCCATTGCATCAGTGAGATACGTTTACCATTTCTCAATTAACTCTCCCACTCTCATAGCATCCTGGAACACTCAAGAATGGGTGAATAAGTTAAGTAGAGTCACAGAATCATAGAATATCTTGAGTTGGAAAGGACCTGTAAGGATCATTGAGTCCAACGCCCTGCTCCTGCAGGACTACCTAAAACTAAACCATATGACTGAGAGTGTTGTCCAGATGGTCCTTGAACTCTGACAGACTTGCTGCCATGACCACTTCCCTGGGGAGCCTGTTGCAGTGACTGACCACCCTAAGTATGTGAATAGATAAATATTTGACCTAAACCCCTCTTTGAGTCAGTGCCTTGTGAAATGTATTTGGGTTTATTATAACATTTAAAATGAAATTTTAGTATCCTATCTTATATTAACTTGGTTTAATGATGGAGTACCTGAAAATCAAAAGAGGTGATGCTAGTCATAAAATTACTGGGATTTAAGAATGGGTGCTGAGAGATGATTAATATGTCAGAAGTGGGTCAGTTTTTTATTAAAAGCAAGTGTCACTAAAATGTGAGCGATGGCTGATACACTGGACTGAGAACCATGCTCTTAAATACCATGCTTTTAGGTGGAGGTATTTGTTTTTATAAGCTATTGGTATGTTACAACCAAGCAGATAAAAAGACTGAAAAGGACTGTGGAAACCATTACTGGGGGGGAATGGGTTTTCTAACTTCAGTCGAGATGATCTGAACTTGAAAAGGACAGATGAAGTGAAGGCAGAAATACATCTCTAGCTTTTGTTCTCTTACTTGAACTGCTGTCCACTCTTCCGTTTGGAAGAAAGGAGCTACTAACATTTGTAACCAGCAGCATATGTTATACTTTGACACGTCTTCTGAATTCTACCTAGCAAATGTGGATATTTTTCATTATTTTTTAAACTTTTTTTGCCTATGAGAAAAATATTTTTGGCTAGCTATTTATGTGTCATATAAATTTACAGCTCACAGACACTTAAGAATAAAGAAAGACTATATATACTGGAAAGGCTGCCATTTTTCTGGTTGTAGCAGTTGCTTCAATAGAAGATGTTACTTTGTAAGCCATATCTCACAAGAGTGAAATTCCTGTTCTGTGGGCATCTATACCTAAATGTTTCATATGCAGTAGTCCTAAGGGAGAATAATCCTGTGAAGAATTCAGAGCTAAATTAAGAAAAGAGCTCTAATTTTATGTTTCTGAAAGCAAAGTAAGGTTTTTGAGAGTTTGTGGTTTTGTGGGGGGATTTGGGGGGTTTTTTTAAATTATTAACAACTATTCATGTAGCTTTTCTGATTCAGGGTAGTTTTGAATGATAGTCACAAATGACAGTGACATTATTTTGGTGAAACATGAAGAAACATGTCATCTTATATTCCTGACAAAGTGGCTGTGAATTGTGTTGGAGGGCTGTCTTACCGAGCACGTACTCTCTGTGACTGGTGTATGGTTTGTTTTCTCCAATAATTTGGTGTTCCAGTAGAACCTAGAGATCCTGCTTTGCTGCGCGTTGCATGAAGCCATACTACTTAGCTTATTGCTCTGTCTTTTCTAGTTAATATGTATGCTGCCTAAAGGGAAGAAAAATGAAATATTCATCTCCATACATAAATATGCTGAAATACTCATCTCCATAAACTGTACATAGGCAGTTTAAAGAAAGAAGTAGTAAGAGAATTGCCTGAGGTCCTACAGTGTGAACCAGAAGTATCATTATTTAAAACCAAGCCCAGATTTTCTGATTCCCAACCCAATCATCATCTCTCAGCTGCAAGTCTCTCCAGTTTCTTTTCTGGCATATCAGAAATATTCAGCTATATTGGAGTGATATGGCATTTATGGTTAGAAAGTTTTTGATTTTTGTGAAGCCAGCTGAATGAAATAAATAATAATAATTAAAAAAAAAATAAAAAGTGTGCTGAAAATGAGAGAAGAACATTGCTGTATCACCTCCCAGTAGGTTGGTTAGTTGTTTTGGTTTTTTTTCCCAGAATGATGAGTGTTGTTATTTATTTTTCAGACTTTTTCAGGGGTTAACAGTCTTTATTTAATCACCAGTTTATTTTGACTCTATTTGCTGGTTTTTTATTTAGTTTACTCAGACATTTTTAAGTTGTGCTATACATTACTTTGTCACATATGGTGTCATCGTTGGAATTCAAAAACACTGTTCTTGGTGCCTAGTTCAGCACATTGTATGAAATAGGGTATGAGCTTTAGGTTTACTGAAAAGCGTCGAGGCTGCATATACTAGGAAATATTTTAGGGTCAAGTATATGATTAGTAGTTGAAACTTTGTCTCTGCTGGCGATTTCTAATAGTAACTACCTGTGCTGCTGCAGAGTCCCAGTGTATTGACAGGCTAAAATGCTATTTATAGCTTCTTCTTTCAAAATGTAGTAAATATTTCTTCTGCAGATTCTGACGTACAGTAGTTGTTTTGCTGTTTGCACCGGTTAATTACTTCCAGTGGTTGAGTTTAGATCAAGTAATCAAGCTAGATGGGTGCTGAATGCTTTTAGTTCTCCCATTTTTTTTTTCAAATTAAAATATCAGTCAGTAAATACTTTCATGTTATTTATTGTGGCTAATGATGTGATTGTTTGCAGAGCGCGCTAGCAAAAGCATCCATCAACTGAAATATGCCTTAGAGGAAAGACAGTTTGCAGAAGGAGAGGATGAAGCTGGGTTTGACCAGTGCTCTGTGGACAAGGGCAGTGATGATGTGGACAGGGGCAATGATGACAGTGGGAATGCAGCCTCGCAGGAACTGCAGCACAGTCAAGCAGGTAAGATTGCTCTGAAAGCAAATAGTTTAAAAAATCTTAGAAATTAAACTGATTTCAATGAAAAAAGTAAATAATTTTTGGTTACAATGTTTTTTTCCTCTTCCTAGTTAATCAACTTAAAATTTTGTTGCAACATCAAGAAAGAATGGGAAGTGAAGTCTCTCCATCAAGGAGGAAGATGTCTTTCTGTGTATGTTTCTTCTTGTTTCTTTTGTGTTGTTTGGCTGAACAGCATACATGATGAAATCAATTTTGTAGTATCCAGGAAGAAAAGGAAGCACTGAATCATGTTTATATTCTGAAATACAAGAGATTCTTGAGGCTATGGCCAGAACTTGGTATGCTTCTGACCATAGTGGAAGAAAAAGAAATCTCTAATAAAGAATTTAGACTTTTCTCCTCTTTTGTTAACCATACAGTGTGTGGGTCACAGTCCACATTGCTTTCAGCTTTCTCATCTTTTTCTTTCTACCAAAAGATCATCCTTTCTGTTTTGGAAACAGTTGGGATAGATTACAAGGACAAATTTCTGTAAAAGCAGCCTCTGTTTTCCTTTGACTGTGCTTTATGGATTCTCGAAAGCCTTCTTATGCTCTAGCTGTGCTTTTTCTTTAGAGGATTAGACATGTTCATGTAACAACAGATTTTATAGCTCTCTGCCAAAATGCAGTGCACACTTTCAAAGTTAGTTCACGCCCTTACATGGGCTTCACAGATGTAGCCTTCTTCGCAGAACTGCACCAAAGTGTGTACAATAGTCAGTTCAGTTACTAGTAGCTTGTAGTTACTCTGTATCCCTATATGAAAATAATTCAAAGGCATTGTTCCATTTTTATATTTTGATGGCCTCCACTGACTACATTGGTTTACACTAAGCAAGACAAACAGCAGAGTTTAGGAAGCAGCAGAACAATCTCAGGCCT